AGATGGTCCTAAGTTTGAACTATCGAAATTTGCAATTTTTATTAGCATTTTTAATAGGGTTCCCACTCAATTTCAGAAAAAAAATTTCCTGATTTTTCCAGGTATATCAAGTAAATTTCAATGAAAATCAATACCATATTTTATCTATGCGATGAAATTTTTCATCAGAAAATTTTGATTCTTTTATTTGTAATGCCAAATATTGGATTTTCCATGTAAAATAAATATTATATGAGGAGGGAAGCATTTCAATTTGTCTAAAATGTAAAATTTTTACAATAAATAATTGTAATAGATGTTAGAATTATTTAACTCGAATCTCAACAACTGAGTACTGTTACTGACAATTTTAAGACTGGTTTTTTTCCAGGTATAATGAAGAAATTTTCCAGGTTTTTGTAAAAAAATTGCAACTTTCCCAGACCATTCCCTGATTTTTGGAGTTGAAATAAAATTCCCTGACAATTCCAGATTTTCCCTGACCAGTGGGAACCACCCTGATTTTAATTAAAATAAAAAGATGGTGGTCCAAAAATTCAAATTTTTTGATACTTAATATCGATTATTTTAGAATCCGTCGAAACATGTCGAAAACATGAACCCAGCCATAAGCTTTTTTCCATCAACATCATCTGCTTTCAGAGATCTAGATGTAAAACGCTCATGCTTCTCCGATCGATTAACCGAAAGCCCAAAAGGCACACTCCACGCACCGTCAAACCACCTAATCTCACATAAATTAAATTTATTTAAGAGTTAAAAAAAAAAAGCATAGGATCTTATCGAATGCTTGTTGGCAGGAACCAGATTTTGATATCCGTGTGACAAGCAGAAAATGATGCACGTTAAATTCTATTTCTTATCTTATCAGAATGAAAAACCTGGCGAGGGCTGGTTTACAAGCTTTATGAAACGAATCCTAGGAAAAAGCTTAGCGTCTTTGATCGTTATGCAAACCTGACACCCGTGTCTCATGTGAATGGAATAAGTGTTAACATGCGAATGGAATAAGTGTGGCCATTGTAGATGGAAGAGCTGAAAATGAGTCAATAACTGATATCACAATTGTGACCGGTAGGGTTAAGTGATAGGTATGGAATACAATATATTCTTCAACACATACGTAATTAGTAATTTTAGACCGATGCAACCTTAGTACGATGCTAAGTTTTTTCATAGTGTCGTACGAATTAATTCCTTGCATTTAATCATTCAATATTACCGTTCAACGTAAACAGATATACCACTTAAACCAACATATTTATTAAGGTAGCGGCAAACTTGTATGATACAGTGGTTCTAAGTACCAACATTACCATGTATTAATGTTAAAGATCTTTTTTTATTTTTTATCAAATCCATGTCACCGATTTGAACTATTCTAACAAATAAGATTTTAAGATTTCAAAAGTGCATTTATACTAACAAATAAACAGCTCTTCATACAGATTCACTAACGAGCCTGACATAATAGTCAGTGCTTATTCAACGAGAATATTCACTAAAATGGTTACAAAAGAAAGCAATACGCTTAGAAAAAAAAAAAATTAATATTGCACATAAATCTTGTACGCTTTAAATAAGCTTAAAAGCCGCTGTTTTTAAAAAGAATCGTTCGTATAATTCATTTAACTTTTTCACAGAAATGATCGCGTAGACATATCCGGCCTGCATAACGTTGGAATTTACGAGGACATAAAACGTTCTTTCACCAAATACTTAACCCAACACTGACAAGACTTTAAGAAAGGACGACGAAACTTTTTGGTCATTAAGTAACAAAATCTAATGGTTTTTTTCCTTCTTTTTATCGTCTTTGGTTGACACTCAAGTCTGCTCGCAAATCATATTAAGATGCCTTCTTCTTAAGATCTCTTCCAAGTGAAATAAATCCGCGCATCATTAGTTTCACTCAACGAGTTTTATCGGAAAACTGGCTCAGCTTTCACGGGCGATGAATCAACAGCGTCCATTTGTATCCCAGAAGACTGGACGGTCACCATTCTTGTAGGTTTTACAGATGAATCTTCTATCGGAATCAATATTCCGTTAAAGGAACGTTAAAAGGTTTCCAAAACTTACACAAGAGAAATGTAAGAATATTTTGAAAGGTTTGCTTTCTTCTTGAGAGGCTCATCTTCTTTATTTAGTTACATTTATTTGAATTTTCTAGCAATATACACACCGTTTAAATTTCTGAAGACAATCGAATCAAAATATCATTTAAATTTATTGCAATTTCAGGGTGTGTAGCCAAATTATTCAACAAAAAGTAAGCACTTTTCACCGCACTCAAAAAATTTTTTTAAGCACTTTAAAAAAATATCATAATTAGGCAGGGTTGGGGAAAGTTATTGACAAGTGACTGTTTTATCTTGTTTTAACCGTCATGTCAAAATCTTTTGGCGTTGTTTTTGTCAAAAATCATGAAATTTAGAATCATGTAAAACGAATGGCGTTTTTATACAGAATGGACTAACAATACGGCGAAATAGATTGGGGTAGAATTAATTGTGAAAATGTTGAATAGAATAATGTGAACTGTGTCTTTTTGGATAATTCGAAGCGAAAATCAGCATAGTAAAGGAAAAATCTCATTTTGAAAAAGGATAAATTAAGCACCTCTTAAAAACACCTAATGAAAAAAGCACCTTTAAGGGCTTTTAAAAAACGATAATCGAAAATAATAACCTTTAAGCACTTTTTAAAAACGCTACGCACCCTGAATTTCAATATAGTGCTAAGTTGAGCCATATCATACTTCATCAACTTAATTTCATGATGCTATGGTTCAACTCTAACTGAAACGGGATTCAACTGAACACAACTTTGCAGATTGTAGGAAATTTGCAACGTTGATTCGATTTTTCTGACAGCGTAATTAAAGTGAAAAAAAATTTATTAATGTTCATTTATTACTTTCACTCAGACTAATGAATATCATTAATTAAACCCTCAACGAGTTTTAAAGAAAAACTAGCTCAGCTTTCACGGGCGATGAATTTAGAGCCATTTGTATCCCAGAAAACTAGACGGTCGCCATTCTTGTAGGTTTTGCTGAATCTATCAAAATTAATATTCCGTTAAGTACGATAAAATGTTTCCAGCACTTAAACAAGAAAAATATAAGAACAATTTGAAAGGTTTGTTTTCTACTTAAGGCTTACCTTCTTTATTTAGTTGTATACATAATAATTATTTCAATTTGGTAGTAATGCACCGTTAAAAATCTTGAAGAATAGAATCATAATATCGTTTAAATAATTGGGTGTGATTTTTATAGGGTGCTAAGTTGAGCCATATTATCGTACTTCATCAACTTGATTACATGATACTATAGCTTAACTGTAACTGAAACGGGATTCAACTGAACACAACTTTACATAATGTAGGAAATGTGTCCCATATTATAGCTAAACGTTGATTTGATTTTTTGACTAAGTGAAAAAAAAAATCTATTTTGATAAGGACTTTTTTATGGGATGGGAATCTTTCAATATGTACCACAAAATCCAGGAGAATGTTTGATAAAACCAAGAGAAACTAGCAATACATAATCCCGTATTGAAAAATCTTTTAAAAATGGTTATCTATGTAATCAGGGGTGATTGTGAGCCCAAGTTAAAATTCCGGAAAATTTCTTGAGAAAAAAAAAAAACAGTTTAAATGGGAAAAAATTTAAACAGGGTTTTTTTCTTTTCCTCAATCTTTCTTAGTTTACTTAAAATAAACAGGGTGATTCTAAAAAGATGGGCAAAATTTTAGGAAGTGATAGTACACACCCAAGCAAACAATTTTTATCAAAGAATGCATGGTCGAAAACAAAACGCAAAGGTGCTGGCGCATTTGGAAAGTTGTTTGATGCCAAAAGTGAAAGCTCCATTCCTGTTGCAAGTCACTGCGCTGCGTTACTTGTCGCCAAGCTTTCGGCCGCTGCAGGGAAAGTTCGTGATATGCTTGGTGTGTTTCAGAATGTTCGCCTATCTTTTCTTCGCCGTTGTACTGCGAGAATAGCCGCTGCCGGCCACTGTTTTGAACATTTATTGTAATCACATGCCATTAAATTTGTTTTTATAATTTAACTTCATCGTTCTTTGTGTGTTTTTGCCTCATATAAGAACATAAACTTTGACGCCCTCTAGCGGTTTTGCGTTTTGCTTTCGACCATGCATTCTTTGATAAAAATTGTTTGCTTGGGTGTGTACTATCACTTCTTAAAATTTTGCCCATCTTTTTAGAATCACCCTGTATTTAAAATTTACACATACTTATACCATTTACACATACTTATGATAACCTGGAGAAGTAATTGAAATTTACAATTTTTCTTTCGTGAGTTTATGATTATAATAACTATAATACAGATAAAAAATTTATATTAATCTTGAATATAAAGCTTATAATTATATAGTATCTGGCTCTCCCTTACAAACAATTAGGACAAACTGTGTTTTTAAGTTCCACCTTTCAAAATTTGATTTCCGGAAACTTTTGTGATCAATGATTTTTTGAAACGTCTGGACCTTCGTTCTCCGGAAACTTCCGGATCAAGGTTAGCGAAAAATCCGGAAATCCGGATTCTTTCCGGAGCACAATCAGCCCTGACGTAATAAACGTCTTTAATTAAATATATCATAAATCATTCGATCGGAAAAAAGATCCAATCTCTATGTTTCGGCAGAGGTTTAAAAAAATAATATATCCTGGCTTACTTTAGGTTTACCAGAATTCATGAATGAATTTTTTTTATACGTTAAATTTTAAATTTCCTACGTAGGTTAAAGAAAATTTGCCATTAATGGAATTCTAGAGTTTTTGAACAGCCTTCTATGGAGAATTCTTGAAGAAATCAGAATTCTTCGAGAACTATATCCCTCATGGTTGTAAAAATTGTTAACAAAACGTAGTGACAAACAAATATTTGCTCTGTGTTTCACAAATCAGTTATACCAAGTGGATTTCTTCTAAGATTATGCATTAAAAAAAACTTGTGTACTTACAAAGAATATTTAATTGAGCTCCTTGACTAGCCAGAGATATTCCAGTAGTGACGTTAGTAGCAATGCACTTGAATTCTCCAATATCCTTAGATGGGTCAACTCTAGTTATGTGCAAATTGCTACCAACCTGAAACCGGCGAGACGTGTTAGCAACTGAATCCCCATTCAATGTCCAATAGAACACCACGTGTCGGTTGTTTGACACGCCACATTCGAGAGTGACACTTTGTCCCTTTCGAACATCCTGATCTTGTGGATGTGGTTGGAAATAGTAACTGTCTTGTCCGAATGTCAAGGCCAGCAGAAAGTATTCTGAAAAAAAGTGCCGAATAAATTTATTAAGCTCAACAGAAAATAAAGTACAGTACGCACAAATAAATCCAGAATGTAGTTAACTTAGCTAAAGTTTAAGTCAACTTATAGCTTATGTACCAATGGATGATTAACAAATGTAAACAAAAAACAGGCAACTGTGTATACTATTTAATTACGAATCAAAAACGTTTGATTGCAGAATTTTATTGGCATAATTTTGCCATCTGTAGCCTCTTTCGATAGCCAGAAACGGACAGTTGGAAGCGTGAAAATTTACGGATCAAATAATTTTGTGTTTTTGTTAGCAGTATTTTCTCATTAGCTTATTAAATATTCCGTGCGGCTTGGTGTAATAATCGATAATAATAGAACACCGATAAGTAATAAAACGATTAATAATAGAAGTAAAATCTGAAAGTTTTCTGATTCATTTCCAATTTCTATTGGTTAAAGTTACTTTAAAAAGCTCTCTTTTCTGGTCTGTACTTAAGTTTTTTAAAAGCGTTTTACTTTAGAAATTGTAGTTTTCTTTAAACCTTCGAAGTTCCGGCATTATATTTTCTCCTTTCTTTATTGCTGCTCAAAATGCTACAATCCCTTCCTTTTCATGAAAAAAGATTTTTTTTTTTTAAAAAATCAGCCACTTATACTTAAGAATCTATTCAGTAAGGAAAGCAACTGATTCGCTTTCGAAAATAAATTCAAATCTAAACGATTTAAAAAAAATATTTATTCACTGTCAGTCGAAAAAAAGTCTTAACAAAACACGAAAGTAAAACATGTGCATAGTCGTTTAACTTATCCTCAAAATAAATAAATAATCAAATAAAAGACATCGTAGATTCCGAGAACCTCCATTATCCTCAAAAATTATGATTCAAAGCATTGTTCGCAAAGTGGTGATTATGTTTGAGTAGTGCTTCTTAGCCAAAGCTGGCTTTCATTTCAAATTTTTATACTTTCTCTTTGCTCGAGAGAAAGCAATAAGAAAAAAATCACGATGCGTGGCGAAAAAAAAATCAAGAAACATGATATAAAGCAAAACAGAAAAATGAAAAATAAACGAGCACAACAAAAACAATAAATAAAAGGTAGTTAATTTTCTAAGACGATGCCAAGTTATTCGGAATAGCGTGACCACCTGTTGTGACGTCAGCGGCCCGTCATCACTCATTGGAGATGATTAACGAGAGTGGGCGTGGTCTGACCAAGACCTTAAAAAAAAAGAAAAAGTTCATCTTGGCAAAGAACTCAAGTGGTTGTGTATTTATTTCCTTTTAAACCAAACCACCTTAACCTTCAGGTACAAAGATGACTTATACAATTTCAATAATTTTATGTTGATGATAAGATGCAGCTGCATTTTAAAAGAATTTGAAAATACAATCGCAATCACTTTCGGCAAATTATTTTTGTCTAAAATATCTGTCTTGAACTTTCGTCGGCAGGTGATGAGTTTTTTAAGATTCGTATCGCGTTTGAGTGAAGTATTGACAGAATAATTATTTTTCTGCTGTTGATGTAATTGAGCTAAAATGATACAATCCGCATACGGGACAGGTGTCAGGAAAAAATGTTAAACAGTGTGCATAGCCAAATCTTTCAACAAAAAATAAGCACCTTTTAAGTACTTTTTAAGCACTCAAAAAATATTCCTAAGCACTATGTACATTAACAAAATGCAAAATAATATTCAAAGACTTTACATGATCATAATAAAATAACTAGTTTCTGACAAAGAACTATTTTCTTGATTATATTAGCCATTAGAAAATAATCGAGAGATTTTTCGGTTCGATTTCAGAGGGTGGAAAACGAAGCTTAAATTTGAGAATATCTTGTAAAATGCAGCACATGAGAGTGCAATAATCCTCACCATACACACAACTCACTATGCGCACATGCGGATTTGAAAGTATTCCACCAAACCTGTAAAATAATTGGCGCTTTCATACATTATGGACTGACAGTACGCCAAAATGAATTATGAAAACGGCTGAATAGAACAATGTGAAAAGCACGCTTTTGCATAATGTGAAAATCGAAATGGTAACGAAAAAAAATCTTATTTTTGAAAAGGAAAAATTTAACACTTTTTAAAAAAATACCAACAAAAAAAAAGCACCTTTAAGGACTTTTAAATAACGAAAATCGAAAATAAGCACCTTTAAGCACTTTTCAAAAACGCTACGCATCATGTTAAATAAAGCCAAATTTCAACGACGAAGGGGGAAAAAACTGTTGAAATTTTTTTTTCAATCCACTTGTTTAGTTTACTATGAAAACATATTTGCAGTTTTACAATATTTCTTTACTCACCATTTTTTTAAAAAAAAAATACAGTAAAACTAAAAATATTTTTATTTTAAAAAAGTTGATAAAATTTTAATGATAAATAGTCAAAAATAAACAGGGCCATTAAAATTTATTTTTGATTTGAAATATATTTTTTTATTTGTTTTATTTATTTATTTTTTCTTTGTATTAAACGGAGAGAGATTTAAAAAAGTTAGTAAGAAGGCCTTATTTGAATAGTGAACCACTAAATCTTTTAAAAATACGGCGTCAGCCTATTTTTCATGTCCATACAAATTATTACTATCTTAATATAAAATTAGTTAATTATTTCTGCAACCAAACAGGGGTCACTACAAAAACAAATTAAATAAGAAAGGAAAAATAATGCACACACGCGATCATGATGCTCAGGACAAATTTTGTTAGAATACACATTGAAGAATTTTTAAAGGATAATTTTCAAAACTTGTTGACAGTTTTGTAGTAGCAACTCGAGAAGTGAAGTCATTATGCTTAACTATGTGATTTAAATCAGATTTAGTTGGATACCTGTAAGCAACGTCACACGCATGTGTCGAACCTGATTGGCTTCTAAGTCGACAAATGCCACGATGACGTCNAATACCTTGTAAAGGCAAAATCTTCTATGATGATGCACCAAAAATATTCAATGCTTTAAAAAATAGAAGAAGTTAAAAATTTATTATAATTAAAGAAATAATTTTTTAAAAGAGTTTTTGTGTTTTTTTTAGTTTTTAGAAATCTCACTTAACTTTTTGAAATCTCACCCTGCTTTTGAGAAAGGGTGAGAAATTCTCACCCATTTTTTTTTTCTATGATGAAAACACTGCTTGTAGGTATCCAATTGTAAAAAAATGTCAAGTTATCTAAGTTGGTAACGGTACGGTATTTTACGTTCATTGAGTTGATGTGCAAGTGGAAACTTTTTTCTTTTTCTAGCCATTTTTAAGCATTTTTTTCCCTGTTGAAAATATAAATTTAATGATTCTAGATTCAAGAGAAAAACTGCTTTCGAATTGGCAATTAATATAAAGAATTAAAAAATATATATATACCAACTCCGAAAAGTCCCTTTTAAAAGACGTTTTCTCCAAAACCAAATATAATTTTAAAAGGGATGTTTTCGAAAGGTGAGGATAGAAAAAGATGCTTCTATCCATTGTTATTTAAAGTTAACAAATAAATTGATAACTGTTATTTACTCGGCAGTATCTTTCTCGGCCAATACAGGATACAAGGTCGTAGCTCTATCAGAACTATATTTACCGAGAGGAAATTAACAATTCAAACGGATCTTTTCTGCCTAATTTGTATCAATAAATTCCGCTATCGCCATCTTTAGAAAGATTGTACAATATCATACCTTTATCTGCTTTTAGATTTAAAAAAAAAATTGTTTTTGGATAATTTATGTAAAAGGAATTTCGAAGCTACACACAAACCGGCATGTAAAAATGAAAGTTAATATTTAAATATCTAAACACAGAAAAAAAATGCAGCATTAATTTAATCAATTCAAAATTATTAAAAACTTAATTTTATTAATTTTACGAAATTTTGGAATAGATCTGAAATTCATAAAAAAAAAAACATTCAAGTTAACAAGATCTAAATTTTCCTAATATAAAGCAAAGCCTTTATTTTTCATTTTTTGGACAATTTGTTTTCATTTTGGACAATTTGTGTTAAAGGAATTTTGAAGCTACACCCAAACCGGCAAGTAAAAATGAAAGTTAATATTTAAAAATGTAAACACAGAAAAAAATGCAGCATTAATTTAATCAATTCAAAATTATTAAAAGTTTAATTTTATTAATTTAATTTTATGAAATTTGGGAATAGATCTGAAATTCATAAAAAAAACATTCAAGTTAACAAGATCTAATTTTCCTAATATAAAGCAAAGCCTTTATTTTTCATTTTTTCTAAAAATATTGCACGGAGGAATGATGACGTTCTCTCATTATAAGTTAGTTAAAAACAAAGAGCATCGTTAAAACTAAAATCAATAAGTTTTTCTAAAATCCAAGAAAGCAAAAGCAGAGCGCTCCTAATTATCAAATATCAACTAATGCGTCGCATTCAAACTGAAGTTCCGAATTAATTTTTAGATTGAGGAACGAAACCATATAAAAATTTAAAAAAAAAAAAAGTTCCATTTTCAGCACATAGCTCAATTACCAAACAAGATGCGATTCAAAACTTATAGTTAATTCTTATGTAGTAATCATACGATAAAAAAATTCGGCGTCACAACAATATAGGTGATAAGACACATCTTATAAAAAAAATTTCAGCTGCTATGGCTTCGTGCTAGCATTGAATACGTAATGAAAATGTCAAATTGCTCCACTCTCTACCAGGAAACTGAAAGTAAATACTTATCAGAGAAAAAAATTAAAGAAACCAACTATTGAAGTGTAACTTTCTGAAATATGCAAGGGGGTGACGTGTAAATGTTGTGGGTGGTTACTCTTAGCAACGCTATCCGACCAGAGACATAGATTTGCGTGTTAGTAGGCAGTTCGTGCAAATTATTAGAAGTCCCGCCTTCTCTTTTTTATTTCTAAGTTTTCTTCAAAGAAATCAATAAAGTGCATAACATTTAGTTGCTACTTATCATCAAATGATTCGATTTAAATCGTAAATGATTAATGAGTAAAATATTTGTTGTTTGA